GGTATTCGCGACCCAGGTATTGTGAGCACAATTAAGGGCTATCTTAATTACAGTAGCGATGATTCAAACCATTTAGGCATTGCAGGGTGGAATTACCCAGCTCAACCAATAGTCTCAACAATAGCCAAAATTTCAACTTTTAATATACGTATACCATTACATCATTTATTTGGTATATTTAATGATTATCAACTAGCCCAATTTGGTAAACAAACTATACGTCTTGTAAGAGCTCGAAATGACTCTGATTGTCAAATTATAACAGAAAAAACTGCGGCTGCTGCTGGCACAACAAAGGCTAAATTAACCGTTGAAAATATCTCGTTAAAAGTACAAGTTATTACACCCAATGATTTATTAAAGCTTCAGTTGTTGGAATCAATAAAATCAGACAAACCTATAGTAATTCCATTTCCAATTAACTAAAGATGCCACTAAGGAAATATGGTCAGTTAAAACGTGCACTGCATTGGAAAGTCCACGCTATATAATTTTAGCTTTTCATACCAATAGAAGAGGTAATGATACAAAAGATCTCTCATATTTTGACAACATTGATATATCTGATATACGTGTTATCCTCAATGGCGAATATTTTCCTATAGAACGCATGGACCTTAATTTTGAAAAAAATAATTTTATCGAGGCCCATCACAATTATACACAATTTTATTCAAGTTTTAAAAATGATTTAACAATATCAAAACACTCTCTACTTGATTATAAACAATTTAAGAACCACGCTCTTTTTGTAATTGATTGTTCCAGAAGAAATGAATCCTTAAAATCGAGTACAGTTGACATCAAAGTTGATATTGAGGCGAAAAAAGGCTTTCCCGATAACACAAAAGCATATTGTGTTATTATACATGACGTCATTATGGAGCATCTTCCACTCAGTGAAATAGTTCGTAGTTTATCATAATGCTGTTTAGTTTAAATTATTCTGCCTAAGATGAAGGTTGTGTCTATAAATATTCAGGGATTTAATTTATTCTCTAACGAAAAATGGTTTTTTCATCCAAAAGAAGTTACGGTTACCAATGGATTGCAAACAAATCATTATCTCTTAAAACCAATGGTAGAATTTAAGCTGTTATCACGAAAAAATAAAAAACAAGTTTGCTTTGAAGAAAAAATTCATGGCCTACGATATTCAAGTGGATATATAAATTTCAATGAGATTAACAACATTTTAATGGAATTATTGCCTGAATACGATACTGTTTACACAAAAGGAAATCAAAATTATGAATATTTAAAAACAGTCTGTGAGCAGTTATTACAAATGAGTCAAACCACGTCAAGTGGGACCAGAAAATTTCACGAAATCACCGATTTTGAAAATAATCACATTATTGTGTAGTAGGCATGACTCATATGTCACAGTAAAAAAAATGTTTTAAAATTCGTTTTTTTGGTAATGTTATTAAGGTTGACAATTTTGTCAAACTTTAGAGCACGGTAAAATTGAAAAAATAGAATCTCTGGGACCACTCTGTATAATTGAATTAAATTTTACACACTATTGTAGAAATGTTTAGAGTATATAATGATCATTTAATTAAGGTTAATTTGTTTAAATAAAAGAATTTTGCATACATTTATTATAAACAATTGAAATTTTGTATGTGTTCTTCACGCTGAAAAAAAATTAATCTTGTGTCATAATATGCGGCAAACGTTTCCGTTTAATAAGATGTACTCAAAAATTTGCCTTTCATATGTCATTCCGGAGATATTAATTTTTTTGTCCCGCTGTGCGCTTTATCAGTACGCGGCGCGCTTCGCTGCTAGCTCGTCAGCACACGGTGTGCCTGAACGAAGTTTAAGTCACATAAAAATTCCGCAGTTTCTTGTTCGGGACCCTTTGGTGACTTAAAAATTATTAAAAATTATATTTATCAAAATCCTAGCTGCTCCTCTTTTCGAATTTTTTTGAAAAATCTTTTTTCTGCATTATGCTTTTTACTATATAAAAAAGTGATTTTTGTCTAACCCTGTATAAATCTAAGCATATATATAAAAACAGTTTCTCTCGTTTACAATATCGGTGTACAAATGTGTACTCTGGCAAAGGTAGACTTTGCTATAAACAAATAATTTTAAAAAAATTGAATTTTTTACAAATTAAAAAAAACAGTTAGAATTTTGATAAATATATTTTTTAACTTTAACCAATTTTTCGTTCAAAATTGAAAACTACTAAAAAGCCTAAATTAAACAACATTTTAAATACTCTCTAAGCGTTATTTTATTAAATGTTATTACAAATCTAATAATAAGAAGCAGCTCTCTGTACATACTTTGCCAACTACCATAGCATGCTATCCTATGCAATACTTCTTTGGGGTACCTCTGGCCATGCAAGACATGTCTTTATAATGCAAAAAAGCCATTCGAGTAATATGTGACCTTGGCCCACTAACAAATTGCAAAATTCTGACACTAATATAAATCCATCGTTCATAAAAACTTGAATAAGTTTTCTACGATAGGGCAGTATCATAACTTCAATACCAGATTCAAGAACAATTTAGAAACTCCACTTTTATTAAGCAAACCTGTATATAGTATTGAAGAATTCTTATTGTAACTAGTCTACGTATCAGTTAAAAGAGAAGTTATGTTGTTGGCTAAAAAATGTTTATATTCAATATATATATAATATATTGTACTTGTTGTTATACACATATTTATTCATATTTAATTGACTTAGCATGTAATTTTGATGCAATAATAGATGACTTATGACTTATTTAATTTAGGGGTTCGTTAACCCTGTTCAACTCTTTTATTCCTTCTTGTTTATTTCTACTGATTTGTCACTTAGCTATAAAACACACTCGTAGGCTCGGTGAATTCTTATTTACGCAAATAGCGAAGTGCAAATATTAAAAAACTTATCTGAATATGGCTCCTTGTCCCCTTGTAATTGTTCTCTTCCAGGGTCATGCCGCGATGAACTACCTGTTCAGGTGAGTGGTTCCGTGACTTCGATAGGTAGGGTGGCAGTTTAATTTAAGATTAGATTTTAAATGCACTGTTTATAGTTTAGAGCGGAGAAACTATCACGTCTCGAACCTAGAAGCGTTGATTTTGTACTTATAAAAAATCCACATTAAAAAGTTGTCGACGGGACTTAATTTTATGTTGCTAAATGAAGGTTTTATGCATTTTGGCCGTATTTTTGATACTTTAACTTTCAAAAATGTATTGCATTGAGTTTTTCCAATTTTTAATTTAATAAATAAATTAATTAATAAAATCTTCTTTACGTTTTTGCACATTAATTGTCTATTACTTAAGGTACTAACATAGAATGAAATATAAACCTTAATTACATGTTTTTATAAGTTTAAACATGTTCTCAGCACTAGCGTCGTGTTCTTAGAATATTGCTGCAGATTTAGCCGTTGTGTGGACATAACTGGCATTTTAAAAGATAGGCAACGATTTACTTTCTTTAATATAATTAGGTAATTTATTTGTGACTAGCATCGTAACAGAATGCTCCTGAGAAACAACTCGGATGAGTGCCTTGGAGTAGTAAGAGTTGCATCACCCCTGGTACTCATAGCCCTAGAGACATATCTTTTAGTTGCAGACAAACTTGTTTTTTGTACAAAAAATTAGCAAATGGTAAATATACAAACATGGTAACGGCATAATACCTAGTTCTTTAAAATGTTGTTTACAGGATTCTGTACGTTTCAAGTGTAGCATAGCTCGTTTTTGTGCCACAAAGGCTAACGAAAACATGGTAGAAAGATAACTGCATAAACAATACTGATTGAACGTAAGAAAAATAAATGACATTAAGTTGTAAGCAGACAAATGGTTATTCATATAGCGTAAAATATAACTACCACGATTTAATTTTATGTTAACTGACTTAATATATTGCTCCCAGTTAAGGCTTGAGTCAATATGAGAAGACCTAAAAATTTGGCATATTCACAATTTGGAATTGAATTTCCGTTTGCGAATGCAGGAAACACTAGTTTATTTTAAATGATTTATATAATATATTAATAAAAAAAATTATTTGTACAATACTATTTTAAATAAAAAATATAAGAAATTTTGACTAAAGTACAACTGACTTCCACTCTCAAAAAAAAACCTCACGATTCCATAAATACAACGACAAAAATTGTGTATTACTTTCACAGTAAAACTAATTGTTTTAATCGCTTTGTAAATTAGGTATTGATGTATAAACTACATTATTTATTTTTGGTCGAGCATACATTTTAATTTTTTTATAGTTGAATCCCTAAGATGTAATAAAGTAACGTTCATCATTTATGTGTAATTTTCTTGTCTAAGAGATTCTGCAGCATTACTTTTTAAAATTTCAACACCCTGAAATTTTTTTAAATTATTGACGATTTCTTGGCCCATATTTGAGTTCCCCTGAACGCATTTAGCAATATATCCATTTTGGTTTTCCTATGGGAAAGCTGATATGGATCTAAGTGGCACCTTTCGTCTCGCACAGAGCCCAAGATGTCGCAGCTGTGAATATTATATGTCATCACCCTGTCATACTAAAAGTATGGTTGTTTTACAAATAAGTCTAGCAATATATAAGCACCGATATATAATTATATATAGTTCTATATAATTGTATATAATTATATATAATTTTATCTTATTTAATCGGGCCTTTTTTTAAATAATTATATACAATTATATATTATTTTACATAATTCTATCTAATTATATCGGGAATTTTTTTTATATTATTATATAAAATCCTTTTTCATCGGGAGCTGAAAAAACATTTTAGATTTATTTTATGTTCAAATTGTAGAACTCATTTTTCTCGTCAAAATGGTATTGGCTGTTTTTTTCTATAAAATAAAAAATACGACTGTTATTTCCAAATTTTCCCCTTAACCCTAGGTAGCGGAAAGTCTGCAATGAATTTTAAAATAAAACGTAAATATACTGGACTAATATAAGTTTATTAAAAAATACATTATATGTTTCAGACAATAGACAGATGCTTGGATCAATTAGCACTGAATCTTCCCAACATAAAAAGGATTGGAAACAAAGATTTAGTTTACGAGAAAAACGAAAAGAACCTGTAAGTTATATTTTTTTAATTATTTTAAATTTTTAAAATTCTACTGAATTAAGAAATGTTATTTATTTTATTTTTAAAATCCCAAATTTAATTATAAATTGTTAAAAGTTGAAGAAATTCTTACAAGAACATAAGTGTTACCGGAGAAGTAGGGGTAGCTTAGAATATGATATAGTTATATCGCAGCCCAATGGTTATTTTAGTCAAATAGCATGTTTCCGGGCAAATAACTTTTAGCAAAGTAAATAATGTAAATTTTGATTTTAAATTATTTACCGGGTCCAATATTATTTTACTAGGTGAATGTCATTTGCCTTACATTCTCGTAGGCAAATTAAATATACGCTAAAGAAACATAGGGTTTTTGCAATCTAGTGGTGTTCGATAGCATTCGAAGGCAGAAGTCTTACTCGACAAATTTTGTTCAATTGCACAGCTAAATCTCTCACGTTATTTGTGTTTTACATTGCAAGTAAAACTAAAAAACTTTGGTTTAGTACTTGATTTCGATTTATTATTCCTTAGATCATTAAATAAAAAACTGAACGCTTATATAAATTTAGTTACGTTTTTGTGTGTATTTTATCTGAGTGATCATTATGAATTATTGTGTTTTTAATTGAGTATGAGTATGAGTATAAGAGTCGTATAACCGGCCCCATTGTCTCATTTTTCCTGAGCCTCGCACAAGCCTTCATTACCTTACGCCGATTTTTTTTTCCGCAACCAGCAACTGTACGGCTTCACCCGTGTTTGCTGGGTGCGAATGTCCACCGCGTCTGGTACTGTACCATATTTTGGGCTCGAGAGCCTCAGGCGAATAGTTTTAATAGCCTTTCCCGGATTCGCCGGACCGTTGCTATACTCCCATTAGAAACAAAAGAAGGTGGGGACGGGGGGCAGACATTTTGGTTTTCAGGGGACAATTACGCCGACTCAAATCTGCGTTTGACGCGGAATCCCCCTAAAGCGGAAAATTAGTATTACTCCAAACATTTGGGATTACTATTTGAAGTTGCGGAGTTGTAAGTTAGCTGTAGGGACTTGTCTTTCCTTGTTGTCCACATTTAATTTGCCTATTAATTACTTGTCTAATTGCGTGTTTACCACTAATTCTGTCCTGTCGTTGTTTGTTGATTGCGTTATAGTGTATTTTCTATTACCGATTGCTCTGGTAGGACTGTTCCTTGGTGCCAGCCGCGGTTTTGGTCATACCTTTAAGATTATGTCGTAGTGGTTATGGGTACCAGGTCTGTAGCATATTGCTATTGTAGGGAAGTTTTCGTTCTGTCTGACGGAGATCATGTCTTTCCCGCCCTGTTCGTGGTGTACTTCGATTGCGACGTTAAATAAGTTTGAGGCGGCTACCCTGGTTAAAATGTCACATAGAGACCCTGTTCAAACCGATAGATTTTTGTATCGGATTGTATGGTGTTTCTATAGGGTGTATCGGTATGAATAGGACCCATAGTTGGGATTTATGGTTGTTTTATAGGGATATCCTTTCCTGATTTATTTGCCTAATTACTTTTTTTCCCATAGGACCCCATACACCGAAAAAAATAATGTAGTTAAGTTAACGTTTGCCTTAATGTCATTTTTGAAAATGTTGTTTTATCAAAAAACCTATTGGATTAATCTATATTTTGGTGTTAAAGCACTAGTCAGAGTTTGTCAAAGTTTATTTGTTCATTTGAAAGTTAAAATATTGATTTAACATAGACTAATTTTTTGAATTAAAATGTTTATCCTATTTTGTTTTAATAGCTGGTATTGGTTGAATCAAATACTGAAATTTTTAGGATTACCTAAAAAAACTAATTAATTAACGTTTAGTTGCTATTTAAATCCAAAACATTAAATTTGTTCATTTAACAAATTGTAAATATTACTTTAAAATTTGTTAATTTTCGAACACCCACGTCACGTCATTAGACGGTGTTGATCACGTGATATTCTTATATTTTGCCTCAGTTGGCTTACGATAGGAGTATATAAGCTCAGGTAGCCGTTTATTTTGGGTGTGTTCCACAGTGGAACTTCAACTACACCAAATTGCCCGACACTGATAAGACCCCCAATATAGGTCGAATCAGATGTCTGTCCGACAGACTCTGTCGGTAGGTATTTGAAGTCTTCAAATACCTTCAAGTGCGTTCCACCTACTTCAAATTGAAGTAGGTGGAACGCACTCAAAACAAAAACTCTGGCGAGGGAAGGTTCAATTCTTTCTCTTTATAATAATTCCATATTTTTTTTTTGAATACCAACCTTTAAAGAATGTTACTTTTACATTTTCAGAATGTGCTAAAAAGGTTACCTTTTGTTCATTTGACTAATATTTGTTGTTCAATTAAACAATACAATTTGACATTTTTCGATGGTTAAGTAAACGTGCAAAAACCATTGCTTGTATTTAAAGTGCATAAAGAGTTGAATTAATATTTTTTTTTTGTTGTTTCAACAGCTTATTTTTTTCAGTGTAGGTTTTAACAAAATTTTGTCAAATGTTTTATGGTTATCCAGGGATATCCCTATATATCCTTCCTTGAGTTATTTGCTATTGGTCTCAATAGGGGAAATGTAAAAGTTATGGTGTGCCTATAGGTAATTTCCTATACATTTTTTATCGGGCCGTATCCGGAAAAAAAACATGGACAAATGCACATATTGAGTCCGTTAGCGCCTGATAGATTATTTGTATGGGTCTCCACCCCTACCCAAAAGCCTTTTTTGCCTTGGTCGTTTAAGTACGCGTAGACCGATTTTGTCAGTTATGTGTTCGTAACGACTGTTTAATTATTTTATTGCGTCTTTGACGTAGAATCTGTACGTTTCTAGGTTAGTGCGTAAGTGTTTGTTAAGTTTTTGTATACTCTCAGCTGTTGTTTCTGTTTCGCGCTGAAATCCTATCTCCGTGTTAGTTAGTGTGAAATTGATGCGATTAGGCAGTTACCGATGGGAGGTATTTTTGTGACTTCTACTGTATATTCTTTTTGTTAACCAAATTCATTAGAATTAGGTTTGTGTTTTTTTTGTGTTAAGGTTTTCTTAATTTATTGTTAATTTATTATTAATGTTCGTTTAGAAGTGTAAAATGTTTATTTTTGGTAGTTTAGTTTAAATACTTTATTTTGTTGGGGCCGACCTCTTAAATTAATATAAACATAATTTAATGACTTATTCGTTTGTTATTGATAAATTTATTGTCCTACTCAACTTTCCTGTTAATGACTGGGCGAATTGATTTGTTTTTTTTTTGTTTTTGTTATTTTGTTACTATTGTGTTACTAATGTTACTGTTGCACTTAGTTTTTTTTACTGGTGCAGTTAACTAAGATTACTTATCGGATTTTGCAGATGGCCCTCTCCTCCCTTGGTTAGCCTGTTTTGTTTGTCTCGTGAAGAGCATCCAATTGACAGGTGGTTGGACCGCCCGGTAAGCTGTCACTTCTCACTTTAACGCTTTCTTGACCGTAGGGTGGTCTTTAATCACTGTAGTTGTTAAACTATAGTTTATTTGCACTTTATGAGTAATTATAATTATTTGTGGGTTTTGTCTTGTATATTTTAAGCGGTCTCGATACGATACGATACGACTTACTTCGTCAATTAATTGTTCGACTGTGGTGAATTATAGTGTTTTTAATTGTAAATAAAATTTAAGAACTAAATCGTTGAATTTTTATGTTTTGCCAAAGGATCTAGGTAGGTACGTATATTTGTTGGTGCAGAATTAAGTAATGATAACTTTATCTGATATAATTTATATTTAAGTTTGGACATTTTTAAAAAATCTAAAAAAAATAATTGTTGTACAAACATAACCTTAAAATCGAACATATTTATATTTGAGTTCTGGCGACAATTGCATTTTAAACGACAAAGTATATCTACGAATTCATGGCAACATAATATTTTATAAAATAGACAATACAATTCATTAATATAAGAACCAATAAAATGCCAGTATTCCATAGCTACGCATTTTATCACAGCGACAATATTTTGTTTACACGTTACTAAGGATTTTGACACTTTTCTTGATTTAACATTTGTTGACCTTTAAATACTGTTTTTTATATCATTAAAATAATGAATTATAAACTCTAAAAGATCGATGGGTTGCACTGTGGGCCCTATGCCCAAACTAGGTTGCAATAAGTCATTATTGAAAATGTATAATTTGCAACTATTGTTTTATTAAAAACATATTCAAACTTGTAAAAACATAATTGCTTTTTGAAAATACTCTACGAAGACTTTTTTATAAATGCCCAATGTCAGATCTTTAAAAGAAAGTCTATTTTTAATGCAATCGTTTTAATTAAAACTACAATTTATGCGAATTTTTTTATAGCTTAGAGGGCCGTGAAAAGCAAAAGTCGCTTTAAACATTTCATAACTGACATTAGACCTGTCAATTAGTTGTGTTGGGTACATAAAATTATAGAAAATTCGTGTTTTTTTTTTGTTTTTGGCAGGAACTGATAAGGTAATTACCATGAATATTTAATTTTTTAAGTTTTGCAGAGTACAAAAATAGGAAGGCCAACGAATGCCAAGCCAAAATATATATTTTTTATTAGACAAAGATGTAGACTACTAAAAACTGTTAACCAAAAAAATCGCAAAAAATCGCGAAACTTATCCCAGTCAAAAATGTAAACCTCTGAGAAAAGAAAATATTAACAATTAATATGCATCTTAAGTTGTTTATCGAACGTATTGCTTGGGCAATGAGCAAATTAAACCAAAAGTGTTTACGCCTATTTATTGTTTTTATCCGTTTTTAATATTACATCAAGGTGGCCTAGATGCATTGTTAAAAATTGCTCAAAAGGCATTAAAAAATCACATTTAAGTCCAGAATTATGTTAAGAATCCGAGAATGTAAATATATAGGGGTTTCTATTTAATTTTTTAAACATGGACCCATTTCCGGTGAAACCGGAAGTGATCGAAAAAATATGCGAAAACCCTCCTCTTTATACACCATT